GACGATTTTGGGTCCATTAGAATCGTCTCATCGAGACGAACATTTTGGTAATTGTTTCATCGAAAACGGACCAGTGGGTCAAAAGTTATTCACAGTTAATTATGATTGGAATTTTTAATAGTAAATTCCCAAAATCCGCCGATATGATAAAAATTTATAAAAATTTGGTTTGTGGCTTAGGTTGATATTAACGAAGTTGATATTAACGGGGTAACCTGTATTAATTATAGTTTGTTATGTGAGTGCTGCAAAGGGAAAACCTGCAATTGTGAGTTTTCCGAAATCAATTTTATAGAAACGACTTATCAGACACATGATTCATCAAATAGAATTTAATTATAATTCATCAGGAATCTGATCACTGTTTCTGAAAATCGCTTTGCAGCACTCATAAGAACATTAATTTATTAATACAAACACAAGTTTTACAAACCACGTGATAATCTGCGATAAATTTAACCAAAAAATTCAAAGTTCCTTTTGACCAAAAAGCTTCTTTATCCCAAGAATTCACATAAGAAGCTAGCTTTACGTTCTAATAAAGAATTTTCAATAACTAATTTTTACTATATGTCCTTCGTTACTAAACGCCAAATATACCACTAACCTTAACTTTACTGAATTTTAAATACGATATTTTGTAAATCATCACAACCCGTAAAAATTTGTGGTTGAACTCATAACAAATAAATGCGCGTGATATTAGAAAAAAAAATACTAGCTAGTTACTAACATAACTATAGTTTATTACATGAGAATTAAATTCTGATTTATACAGAGATCCAAACTCAACATTCAATATACCGAATCAATGCATGCGATGCTAAAAAAAAAACGTTCAGCTAGTTACTAAGTTTTCAATATTACTCATTTGGACAATGAATACTACATTTCGCACATTCATCAGAATAACTGTCAGGTGTTTGGGGTGGTGATGCTAGTGAGCTCTATAAAAGAGACGACGAAGCATAAATAAGTAAAATAAGTAAAAAAAAAAAAAACAAATAAAGTGATATAGTCTGCGGTTAAATGTTTCAGTTAATACTTACGGATTCGTGTTTTCGATGCTTACTTGCACGAGGGCGGTATGTGCTATCTCGTGGACTTCGACGACGATGAGAACAAGAATTGTGTTCCCCAGCTAATGGTGTTAGATCAGTTTCTCCAGGTGATGATAGTGCTAAAATACTAGATTCTCCAGATGATGGTACTGACAGATTAGTTTCCCCAAATGACGGTGCTTGCAGATTAGTTTCCAATGGTACTAAAATACTAGGTTCTCCAAATGACGGTGCTTGCAGATTAGTTTCCAATGGTACTAAAATACTAGGTTCTCCAAATGACGGTGCTATCAAATTAGTTTCCTCAAATGACGGTGCTTGCATATTAGTTTCCCCAAATGACAGTGCTTGCAGATTAGTTTCCCCAAATGACGATGCTTGCAGATTAATTTCTGATGGTGCTAAAATACTAAGTTCCCCAAATGACGGTGCTTGCAGATTAGTTTTCCCAGATGATAATGGTGCTAGCAGATTGCCATCTTCATTATTATCACAAATCACTACATTATCAGAGTTTAACCCATTGCCTTCAAAAACGATAGTATCGTCGATCATACCTAATTTATTTCCCTCTAGCAAGGGTTCGGTATCATTATTATTTGACACATGCACAGCTTTCTCTGATGGCTCTGTGCCTATATTAGTATTAGCTTGTTCTTCAACTATTAAATTTGCTTCTATCTGTTCAAATACATTATCGTTAAAATTATTTTGGTGCTTTATCATAAATTGTTGCATCACCAGCGTTTAACCCATTGTCTTCAAAAACAACTGCATCTCCATTATTCGGATAAGATTCATCGATCATACCTAATTTATTTCCCTCTGGCAAGAGCTCGGTATTATTATTATCTGACACATGCACAGCTTTCTCTGATGGCTCTGTGCCTATATTAGTGTTAGCTTGTTCTTCGATGCTTCTATCTGTTCAGATACATCATTGTTAAAATCATTTTGAAGTGGTGGTTTTGTTTGATGTTCACTTTCTACTAGTTCTAATGATCCATGTTGTATTCCTGAATCAGTTATTCCAGATACTAATGTTTGTAAATTAGTTCCCCCAGATAGTGTTAGCGGACTAGTTTTCCTGGTTGAGGATGATGAGGATGGTAATGCTGACAAATTGGTTTCTAGTGCCGGCAGATCATGTTCCTCAGGTAGTGGTCTACCATCATTATTGTGATATTCCACACTGTTTGAACTACCCCAGGTGCGCCAACAAAATTTCACAGTCACGTGATGACCCACATCAAATTATCCAATCATTAATCACAATTTTGTGCAACGTAACACGATCACGAAGATCCAAAACAAACGACAGTTTTGTCAAAAATCGCCTTTTGTGCACTAACAAAAAAAATTCCTCGAGTAATTTTACTATATTTTCATCACTCACTTTAAACGCTAACCCCAACATAAAAGATTTTTCCGGTTATCACGTGACAGTGAAATTTGGGTAAGAGCATGATTCCATTCATAATTTATCATTACAACTTCACGTTTATTATCTTTATTTGCTCATCTAGAGCGTTGATCAATTGAGTATAATAAATTTTTTCTTTTTGATGTTCCTGAAGCTCCTGCCGCTAGAAATACGTAATATCAGATATTATTAAATAATTTATAATATAACTTTAAATACTGTAATACTGTTTACTTACCAACTTACATTCTCTCCAAATTCTCTCCCAACATGCTACATGTCTTTGGTTTTCTCGACCTTTATCAGTCTATTGCAAGAATAGAAATATTGCAAGAATAGAAAAAAAAAAGTTAATAGTGCATAATCTTTTTTATAATAAAAAAGAAATCAATTCCTTTTAAAGAACTAATATCTCGTATCAACAACAAAATTAAGGCCCCGTATTGAGGGCTTGGAGTGGGTACCAAGCTGTCGAGATACAGTACTTCCCTAAAAATGAAGGTCGCCCCATTTAGGTGTTGCCTCATTTTGTAAATAAAAAAAGAACGTACCTTTTCCTTTAAGTTGCTATAAGCGTTTGGATCAAAGTTTTTGGCTTCTGATAAAAACTTATTTAGCCAAAAATTTTTCTAGTGTTTTCCAGGAAGTATATTTTAAGGTTTCGGAATGTTTAATTATGGCTTGATGTTCTTGTAATGTAAAACCGTAAAATGATTTGTTCGTTCTTTGAGCAAAATTGTAATCTGTGCTCGGTTTGCCGATCACGTGACGATGTTCGCAGAACATCTAATTACCTGACGTAAGTTTATGCATGTATATGCACATGGTGTTTATTGTACTACTTGAATATAAAATACCAATTTTGACGTGAAATAACAATTTGGTCGACGGTTAGATATATTTATGAACTAAGAATTTAGATTATTACGTTCGTACATTTCTAGCAAATACATTAGCTATTTTTTAGAACAACGCAAGTGCCATTATACACGTGCACCATATATTAAATTATGTTTCAGAATTTAATTTTGTTTTAAAAAAAACAAACACGTATAGAATTGTTTTCAATTAATTGTTCCACTTATAACAATTGCCATATGTGCAGCGCATTA